TTTAAAAAAAAAAAAAAAAAAGACACTATTCTCAACAGATGTGCAGCCTCCATGCCCAGGATGTGCTTGTTGCCTAGATCAAGAGAGGATAGGAGGTTAGCTTCCACCTCCCACCCTGTTCCCTGCTGTAGACCACACCTCCATAATGCAGCTCAGGACAGTGACTGTCTTGTGGTGCTTCATCTTGAGACACGGATTCTCCCTGCACCTTCTCTTCACCCTCTTGAGGCACATGCCGCAACAATTGTTAGGTGGGCATGGGGAAGAGGAGGTGGGCCCAGGTACAGGTCAGGAGGAAGCACAGAGCTAAACTCATCCCAGGAAGGTGGCAAAGGCAGATCAGGAAAGAACTGAGACTCCAAGCCCCAACATATGTGCCCTTTTGTCCTCTCAGATGTCACTTACAAAACACATATTCAAAGATTAAGAATTTTAAAGATTGCTGGGTGGTGGCATGTACCTATTGTCCCAGCACTTGGGAGGCTGAAGCAGGAGGCTCTCTTGAGCCCAAAATTCTAGACCAGCCTGAGCAAGTTAGCAAGATTCTGTTTTCAAACAAATCAGAACAAGAATTTCCAAGATTAAGAATGCAGAGATTAAGAATTTCAAGAGGGTGACCACAGAGCATTAAACCCCAACCACGGGACTCTGCTGAGAGTGAAGCACTATTCAGCCTTACAGGCCATCCACCCAGGATGACTGGATTTTGTCTCTGATGCTTTTTCTCACCTTTGCTTGGGCTGACTGCACATCAGTGACTTGGTGGTGCATTCTTTGCTTTGTCATATTTCAGTCACATAGTGATCCTAGACTTGAATGATTAGTACACCTTCTAACAAAATACCCCACAATATAAGAAAAATCYAATGCTATGCAGTAGGTAAAAACAGGAATGTTGTCAAGCAAGTTATAAAACTATATTATACACACAGTGGAATATTATTCAGGCATATATAAAAATGTGAAGTTTTGACATATTACAACATAGCTGGTCCTCGTAAACATCATGCCAGACAAAAAAGGGCACATATTAAATGATGCTACTTGTGTGAAATATTTAGAATAGGTAAATTCATAGATACAAGAAGGATCAGTGTTGCCAAGGACTGGGAGCAGGGTGGGAGGGGGAGAGACTACTTATGTGGATGGATTGATGACATGATCTGGAACTAGATATTGGGGACAGTTTCAGAATCTTGGGAATATGTGCAAAGCTACTGAATTGAATGCTTTTGTGCAAAATGCTGAATTTTATGATATGTGGATTATATTTTAAAAAGTAAGTTTATCACTTCAAAAAGTCAAAGAATCATCTTTGGTTTTGGAATACGAATACAAATTTATTTAAAAGAGTATGTTAAGGAGTTCATGCTTGCTGGGCATGGTGGCACATGCCTTTAATCCCATTGGCTTGGGAGGCTGAGGCAGGAGGATTATGAGTTCAAAACCAGCCTCAGCGAAAGCAAGGCACTAAGCAACTCAGTGAGACCCTGTCTCTAAATAAAATACAGAATAAGGCTGGGGATGTGGCTCAGTGTCCCTGAGTTCAATTCCTGGCACACACACACAAAAAAAGTTTATGCTTTTGGGGGCTGGGGTTTTAACTCAGTGGTAGAGTGCTTGCCTAGCATGTGTGAGGCATCACATACAAAAATAAGCAAATAAGATAAAGGCATGCAGAATTGGGAATGTGGCTCAGCGGTAGAGCGCTCGCCTAGCACGGGCAGAACCTGGGTTTAATTCTCAGCACCACATAAAAAATAAAGGCATTGTGTTGTGTCCATCTACAAAAAAGATATTCTCTCTCTCTCTCTCTCTCAAAAAAAAAAAAAAAGGCATGCTGTCCATCTACAACTAGAAAAAAGTTTTTTTAAAAAAGTTCATGCTTTGATGTAGTGTATTTCGATGTTCATAGCAGCACAATTTACAATAGCTAGACTGTGGAACCAACTTAGATGCCCTTCAATAGATGAATGGATTAAAAAATGTGGCATTTATACACAATGGAGTATTACTCAGCACTAAAAAAYGACAAAATCATGGAATTTGCAGGGAAATGGATGGCATTAGAGCAGATTATGCTAAGTGAAGCTAGCCAATCCCTAAAAAACAAATGCCAAATGTCTTCTTTGATATAAGGAGAGCAACTAAAAACAGAGCAGGGAGGAAGAGAAGAGAAGAAGATTAACATTAAACAGGGACGAGAGGTGGGAGGGAAAGGGAGAGAGAAGGGAAATTGCATGGAAATGGAAGGTGACCCTCATTGTTTTACAAAATTACATATAAGAGGATGTGAGGGTAAAGGGGAAAAAATATCAAGGGAGAGAAATGAATTACAGTAGATGGGGTAGAGATAGAAGATGGGAGGGGAGGGGAGGGGAGGGGGGATAGTAGAGGATAGGAAAGGTAGCAGAATACAACAGCCACTAATATGGCAGTATGTAAAAATGTGGATGTGTAACCGATGTGATTCTGCAGTCTGTATACGGGGTAAAAATGGGAGTTCATAAAACCCACTTGAATCAATTGTATGAAATATGATATGTCAAGAGCTTTGTAATGTTTTGAACAACCAATAAAAAATAAAATATAAACAAAAAAAATAAACCTCAAAGAGATGTTATCTGAGATGAAAAAAAAAGAAGTTCATGCTTTGATGTAGTGTATTTCCCAAGTGATAATATTAATTTTTTATAAAATTATAAAAAATTATTTTTTATAAAATTATGGAAGATAAGGTAAGCTGAATGATTGCCATTTTAAAAGTAATTAAAGTAATTTTAAAAGTAATTTAAAAGTAATTAAAGTCTCAAGGTTTTATTCAAAATGCTGGCAATTCCTTAACACTCTCATGCTGATGTAATAGCTGTCATGGATTAACAGAAGAAGAAAATGCAAAGTTTATCTCTGTAGAGTTGTTCTATATCGTTTACTTTCTATTAGTAGTTCTTACTTTTCATTAGAAAATGAGTAAAGAAATTTGAAAACGTCTACTGGAAATATAGGCAGCATCTTAATAACTGGAGTAAAGTGTCTGTTCTTTGGATTCAGATTTTTGTGTCAGAAAGAAACAGCTCAAACAGCCAGAGAAGCCTCAAGTCCTCTAAAACTGAACCTCCCTCCGTGGTCTGACTGCCTTTGGAAGCCCATGGTTAGGGGAGGGGAAAAAAAAAAAAAGCAGGCACCCCATCCAGAATTGAGAGTTCTCAATTCTGACCCCTGCAGACTGTGGAAAAAGGGCTCTGCAGTTTCACGGTGTGACATTCAGGTGCTGTTACTTTGAGTAGCTGAGAGTGATTGGAACAAGGGGATAGTAATAAGCTTTAGAAGGAGCTTTTTGTTCTCCTGTCTTGTTTCTTTTCTGAACTTGTTATTTAGTAGAACAAGCTGTTTTAATTTTCTCCAACTTTTATCATCTTTGCACTTACCACAGTATCAAACATATTGTGGGTGTTCAATGAATATTAACTGATGACAAATCCTTGTTTTTTTTTCAGTTGATATTAGTCAGATATTTAAAAATAAATATAGTATATCTGTTGTTTATTCCTTTTTACAACTTTAAATATCCAGACACCTCTTATAATTAGTTATTGTCTGGACTGAATGCTATTGTACACTGAAATTTTTGGAAAGAAGAGAACCAATAATTGGTTCCTGGGGGCGGAATAATTGGAGTTGGAAATTTTAATTATTTCTCCCTGTGGAAAGATATTTAAGACAGAACTTTTGATGTGGTGAATGATAGATAAGTCATTTCTATGCTGTATTTTAGATTAATGTTCATTATTCTAATAAAAACCTTTCCTATGTGAAAAAGAAGAAACAAATTAATCAACCCAAAGACGTAGGAATCAATATATAATTCCTGAGGGATCAGCTTGGCATTTAGCATTAAATGATTTTTCTCTTTTTTTCCTGTTGCAATTTCTTAGGCTTAATTGAGTCATTCTTGATTTATTACTTGAGGTTTCTTTCTTTTTGGTCACATCTACTAGAGCTTAGATTTAGGTACTTTTGGAGACTTTTTCTCCCTAAATGTAGAATACAGAATTGGTGATAATAACTGGAATTTTACAGCCTAGTAATCAAGTATTTGAAGACAAAAAAAAATCATGGTCCTGCCCCAAGGAACACTCAATGATGATAGATTCGTGCAAATTTTTGAAACCCAGTCTGGCAAGAGTCTGAGGTTTAATTCTGTGGACCACAGAGAGACAGGCATTACTCTGTCATTCACCTTGTGGAGGCCTGCGTGGGTCAGGGAAGAGGTATGGAGCAAGCAACTGGAGATGGGTCTCACAGGCTAAGGGAATTAACGCAGTAGGTGAGAGGAGAAGGGATCCCAGGCAGTGGGAGGAGCGTGCACAGACTCAAAGGCTTTCCAGTGTGTTGAGGCAGCGAGCATCATGGAGGAGAAGGTAAGAGCCCTCCATCAGAATCCCCTGGGCCCAAGTCAGACTCCATTGCTTTCACAGGGGCTGTGGGAATGTTCTTGATGAGGTTGGGTTCAGAAAATTAGAAGATATTAGAGATAACCTCTTGGTTTGCTAGTAAATGAAATGAGAACACTTAGTTCTTCATCTCTGTGGAAGAGTGTAAATGTGGTCAGGTTAGGAGATGAATTCATTAGGAAAGCATTTTGTATCTCCAGTGGATCAGTCACTGTTGATTTTTATCCTTGTAGGTTAAAGCGGCTACTGGTGAAGAGGTGTCTGCTGAAGATCTTGGAGGTGCTGATCTTCATTGCAGGTGAAACAGGAATGGTTCTTTCTTTTTAGGATTGATTGTCATTTTGTTTATTTAACAGAGGTTTTACATTATTATTGTTATTAATAATTAATTTATTATTATTATTATTTACCAGTGTTAAGCTTGCCAGACCAAACTAATTTAATTGTTCCCAGTCAACTGTTCTGGGATCAATTCTTTGGATTACAGTTGCATTTTGGAATGCAATTCTACATGCATTGCATTGGATGCAAGTTGAGCATCAGCTTTTTCATTATAGCTGAGAAGGGTTGTAGAGACAGGTTTCTTGTGTATTTTAACAAACACCCTTAGAGCGCCCTTATTTTACAGGTGGGATTGAGGGGCTTGGTGATACAGGACAGGAAAGTGGGGTGATAAAGATAAGTGTAAGAGGACCATATCAGAGGCTAGGACAGCAGGATCAAGTACTCCTTTAGGATCTGAGAAGTTAGAGATACTTGGAGACATCCACATAGAGATTGTTGGGCAGGTAGTTGGCTGTAAGAGTCTGGAGGCGAGATCAGGACTGGAGATTTTTATTTGGGGATCATCTGCACAGAGGTGGAATTTAAAACCTTTGGATTAGGCGAGCTCACCTCATCATGAATGCAAACAGAAAAGAAGGCCCAGCACCATGTCCTCGATGGCAAGCAGATCTGATCACCAAGTTGACTGGCCTGGCAGGTGTGGTAAGCTTCCCTTTGCTCTGCCATATCATAGACCCAGGAAGCTGTGGGAAGAGGCCAGGTGAGAAGAGGGCAATGGGTGGTAAGATTCCACTTTCCTTTCAGAAACCTGCTGTGCCTTTGAATAGCTGGTTAAAGGACCTTTGTTTTAGTTTTTTATTCATTCCTTTCACATGGAGCATTTATTGTGGATAGATTGATAGTATGGTTATGAGTAATAAAAAAATTCCAGCTCTAGTCCCAACCCTTCATGATTTATAATTTAATTAGGTACATAAGAGAAATGAATTAATTAATTAAAAATTACAAAATAAATATACTAACATGCTTACAGTTTTAGGAAGAATGATTAAAGGAATGACTAGGGTGGAGTTGACAGTCTTTGAGAAAAGCTTGGCAGGTGAGGTGAGTGTTGTCAAATGGGAACAGAACTCTTGTTTATTAGGTAAGCGACTGTTTGAGCATAGGTGCAGTGTGACTGTGCCTCTGTCCATTTACCCACCCTTACAAGGAGATCAGCACGGGATTTCCCTGGCTGTGGTGCCTGTGCCAATCCGAGAGACCGGGATGCAGGTAGAAAAAGGCGAGTTAGAAGCATAGTACAGAATGGACTAATGTTTGTAGGTACTTAATGAAAGGAAGGAGAGGGAGATGGTATTTGAGGACCATTCGTTTTTATAAATTTTAAAAAGCAAAGCTCTAGGCAGTGTATCAAATTAGGGATGTAGATTCTGCCTTTGTCTTGTATTCATCTGTTACCCTTGTGACTTAGACAAACTACCTAGCCTCCTTGAGCCTCATTTACTTATGTGTAAGACGAAGATTTGAATGGTACCTACCTTATAGTAGTTTCTAGTATACACCAAGCACTCTATTACTATAATTATTGTTGTTCATAATAATTCATTTAAAATATTTGGAAATGAATAGATGCTGATCACATTTAAAAAAACACATAAAATTAATAGTCACAAATTGCCTTGTCTCTTTGTCATTGTAAATACATTTTTTTAGTTGTAGTTGGACACAATACCTTTATTTCACTTATTTATTTTTATGTGGTGCTGAGGATTGAACCCAGAGTCTTGCACGTGCAAGGCGAGCACTCTACCGCTGAGCCACAACCCCAGCCCATAAATACATATTTATACCATTCTGATTACTTATCCATAAGAGCTAATTTGATTTAAAAAAAGGGACTTATATAAGTAACTCATCAAAGATTTTCTTTTCCTGCTGTTTTGGTAAATATTAAGCAGTTTTTATTAGAAATCATTGTATTTTGAGTAAGTGGTTCCTTGTGTTTCTGTTTCTTACCGAATTACAGCAGTTAGCAGTCAGCAGTTATAGCTGGTATTATGCATGAAGTATTTAAAATGATAGGGTTAAGGGCTTTCTCATCAGTGGAGTACCTGCCTAGCATACATGAGGTCCTGAGGTTGATAGTTAGCATCAATAAATAAATAAATAAATAAAAGGTCACCTTTAAACTGTATTAAAGAAACTGAAGGGTCTGCCACTTGAAGAGCATTGGAAGGCTATAAAGAGAGTAAATTTGGTCTCTACTCTTGTTTAGGAGTATCCAATCCAGGGGTAGAGTAATGTAACCCACCATGAGAGCCCAGCTCTGAGAAGGTCTCCCAAAGGTTGGGCGGTGTCCTTAAGCAGGATGTTAAAACACAGCAGCATAGTCCTTAATCATAAAGTGAACCTAAATTCTGTTTTCAGGGATATATTTTTTTTGTCTGACTTTACAGAATTTTAAAAATACTTTATTAGAAAGTCATTATACATCTGCATCTGAAAAAGCAAGGCATCTAGTTGGGACAGGACTAACTACCAGAGCAAGCCCAGACGTCATTCACTGCACTTGAAATTGAGCAGAAACTTCCATGGCTCTTACCACAGAGCTATTCCATCAATTTTCATTTTATCCATCTTCTGAGGGATGGTGTATTCAAATCTTTTTGTTACCTGTGACAACTTAGTCTCAGGGGTCGCTTGGTAAGAAGGGGCTCAGTCTCCCAGAATGAAAGACAATAGTTGGTATCCTCATTAGAAGTTGAGCTAATTACAAACATTTGATGCTGTCACCACCTGCATGTGAAAGTGTGTATGAGGTACACAGTTGTGGTTTGAGGTACACGGAATGAACACTTAACAGAGGCCCTGGCCAGCAAGCAAGTCCCCAGGGTCTTGCAAAAAGTCAAGATTGGGAAATGGGAGGCCTGGGTTTCTGACACAGCTTCCCCCGTCCTCAGCAAGGTATACCTCAGATTTTTTTATCTTTGTAAAACAAGATAATGCTCTTTTTCCAGGGACATTATAAGAATAGAACAAGATTACATTTATTAAAGTGTTTTGGAAGTAAAAGTGCGATTATTCTTAGATAACAGAAGGCATTTGGGGTGGAAGATATTTAATTCTGTTACTTTGCATTCTGGTTATTTTCATGTGCTTTACTCTATAGAAAATCTGGAGTCACTGACCACTATGCTTTGAATGATCATCATGCCCTTCACTTGACTAGAAAGGTTGTGAGGAGTCTGAATTATCAGAAGAAATTAGATGTGAGTAGGATGTGTTTTTCTTTCATTTTCCTGAAAAAAATTTTGGCGTATGCCACCTGAATCATGTTTTCACAATTTTTCTCGATTTCTCTAGGTTACCATTGAACCTTCTGAAGAGCCTTTATTTCCTGCTGATGAGATGTATGGAATAGTTGGTGCTAACCTCAAGCGGAATTTTGATGTCCGAGAGGTATGAGAAAGTGGAACTGTAAGCTGTAAGCCATGCTGGCAGTCTCTGTGTCTTCAGAGCTGAAGTTTTGTTACAGGGTATTCATGCACCAGGACTGATGTGGCTCTTAATGAGGAGTAGTATACAGGAAAGATGTCTTTCCATGTGGTAGGTTTCACTGGTGCATACTCAAAGAGAGAGGGGGGAAAGTCTCTTAATGATTGGGAAGTTTTCCTTGCAGGAAAACAAGGCTTGATTTGTTCATAGAACTCCGTATTCATGTGGACATTAGGAACTAGGTTGGGACAGTGTCACAATTTCCAACTGTTTCTTTTTGGTGTTCTTATTTTAGGATATGGATAAAATGTCAGTAATTTGTTGGAAGGAAAAGGTACCCTTTTAGAGCAATATGACATTAGTGAGTAGTAAACTTGGTTACAGTGGAAGATGTTGCTATGGTTGCAGATTGCCAACATAGTGTTCTATAATCTAGATTGACAATTTTAGTGTTTGCATGAGCACATAAGCTTTTATGTTGTTCAATATCTGTAGCTAGCAAAATCATTTTTAAGCTAGGAAATTATCTTACTATCATATTCTATGCTAGGAAATTTAGTATTTTAAGTTACTTTTTCCCCTTGACTATAAAACAACAGTTATGTACTAGTAGAAAAGAAGAAAATAAATTTGCTTATAATTCCACCATCCAGAGAAAACAGCCAATATTTTGATGTTTTGACTTCGTGTGTGTGTACAGTTGGCTCCCTGTATCCATGGGTTCTGTATTTGTGGTTCTGCATCCTTGGATTCAACCAACTTCAGACTGAAAATATTTTAAAAAATAACATCTGTTTTGTACACGTACAGATTTCTTAGCATAATAACTATTTACATAGCATTTGCATTGTATTAAGTTTTATAAGTAATCTAGAGATGATTTAAAGTATATGGGAGGGTATGTGTAGGTTATATGCAAATACTGTGACATTTTACATACGAACTTGAGCATCTGTGGATTTTGGTAAGAGGGCCTAGAACTAGTCCCTCATGGATTACGAGGGATGGCTGTATACATTTTTATATGGTTGAAATTTATTTGTGTATGTGTTTAATTTTTTAAATTCTGCTTTTCCAGTTTAGATTGTAAACACTTCCTCTTGACCTTAAAAGTTCTTCATCAAGCATTTTCTGTGGTTAGGTCCTAATCCCTATAATAGTACTTGGCAGGCTGGGGATGTGGCTCAAGCGGTAGCGTGCTCCCCTGGCATACGTGCTGCCCGGGTTCGATCCTCAGCACCACATACAAAACAAAGATGTTGTGTCCGCCAAAAACTAAAAAATAAATATTAAAAAAAATTCTCTCTCTCTCTCTCTCTCTCTAAAAATAAATAAACAAATAAATAAATGTTACCTGCCCCATTTAAAAAAAAATAGTACTTGGCAACATGGTAGGCACTCAGCCAATGTTTTTTGAATGAGTTGATGAGTGTAATATTCCATTGTATAGACACGTGTGACTATTTTATTTGAGCAAAGCCTTACTATTACTAAAGGGCCCTACATTTTGGAATTTTATAGAGCTTCAACTGGCACTTCTCTTTAGCAAGATAGCTTTGTTAACTGTAAGTTTTAGAATTAGGTCTTTAGTTTGACTTTTAATTATGCCTAGGCACAGAGAACATGGTACTTGGAATCTAATGTGCTTGAGAACCCAGTTGTTCCAGACAACCAAGTTTCTAGATGACTGAGAAGTTATCCTTTTTTAGCACAACCTTTTCTTCCTTTATTCAGAATGTGTTCTGTGCACATGTTGTTTCAGACACCAGGATTCAGAAGTGAACAAAAGAAGAGTCATGCTTTTGTGAGGCTTCATTTTAATGGAAATCTTATAAAAAAGATTAACTCTTGCCTTTTTTTTTTTTTTTTTTTTTTTTTTAAGAGAGAGTGAGACAGGAGAGAGAGAGAATTTTTAATATTTATTTTTTAGTTCTCGGCGGACACAACATCTTTGTTGGTATGTGGTGCTGAGGATCGAACCCGGGCCGCACGCATGCCAGACGAGCGCGCTACCGCTGAGCCACATTTCCAGCCCCTACTCTTGCCTTCTTAAATGACCTGGGTTTCTAGATTTTGCTGCTCCATGCTCGTCATAATTTATCACATTTTTCTATATTAACAAGCCTTGTACAGAGGTTTTGGCAGTGTATGGAGCCATGGATGGCACTGGAATCTAAGTCTAAAGACCTTACTTCTAGCTCATGTTCCCCTAGTTAGAAGTAGTGGGATTTAACCTGAGTATCAGTTTCTGCTTCTAGAAATGTGATAGTACCATGTTGTCTATTCCTAAAGTTTCAATTTTTATGAAGATAATATATTTTATATGAGAGGATATTGTTAATTGTAAAGTAAATATGAGGTAGTGTTATACTCAGTGACCCTAAATTGCTGTGCCCTTTGAGCAGCTTCATCTTCGTGTGGGCAGTTGTTATGTGTTAATGGCATGTTAAAAGTTTCAGTTTTGGAGGTCATAGAACCTAAAACAGATAACTGTTATATTTCCATATTTAGGAAAAGAACTAAAAAACAGTTCAAAGTTAAGCTCTTATGCAGAAAAAAATGTTAGGAAGCATTTCCTCATTTTTCAACCCTTGTATCTTATTATAAAAAGCTTTGATTGATGTGGTAAGCCAGAAAGGGAAGTATGAACTATATAGAAAATAAACGTATCATCTAAATCAGTTTCTGAAGAAGTTTGGGTATGCTTCATGTTTAGGACTCGTGTGTGTGTGTGTGTGTGTGTGTGTGTGTGTGTGTGTGCTGCTGGGGATTGAATTTGGGGCCTCACAAGTAGTAAGCATGTGCTCTACTGAAATAGTCCTGATGAGCTTCAAGGATCAACTCCTCAGTAATTTCTGCTCCCTTTAGATTTAGATTGACAATATATGTGAATCTCTTTCATTTAGTCTCCCAGTTGAATTGGAGACTAAAGAACAAAAGAGACAATGCTGAAATTTTCAAAATAACTAGTCATCCAAAGAAACAATGTCAGAATTAGTGAGCAATTATTGAGAGAATGCTACTAATAATTAATAATAGCTCTTTTTTGTTGGGGGGAGTACTAAAAATTGAACCCAGGAGCATTTTACCACTAAGCTACATCCCCAGCCCCTCCTGTTTTTTTGTTTTTTTTTTTCCCTTGAGACAGGGTCTCACTAAGTTTCTCAGGTTGGCTTTGAACTTGCAATCTCCTGCCTCAGCCTCCCGAGTTGCTGGAATTACAGGTGTGCACCATTGTGCCCAGCTAATAACTACCTTTTTTTAAAAAAATTGTTCTTTTTAGATATACATGACAGTACAGTGTATTTTGACATATTATACATACATGGAGTATGTATAATACTCCTTTCATTCCTAATACCTACCTTTTCTTTTAAAGAGAGAGAGAGAGAAGAGAGAGAGAATTTTTTTAATATTTATTTTTCAGTTTTTTGGTGGACACAACATCTTTATTTTTTATTTTTATGTGGTGCTGAGGATCGAACCCAGCACCCCACGCATGCCAGACGAGCACGTTACCGCTTGAGCCACATCCCCAGCCCCCTACCTTTTTAAAAAAAATTATATATTTTTTAGTTCCATTGTGGATGGAAGCAGATTCAATGAGTTCAAAGCCTTATGTAGAGACACATTAGTTACAGGTATGCAAGTGAAGGAATGAAAATGTGAACATTTTCTACTGGTTTGAAATGAGTGATTCCTTTCTCAACTAATTAACTAATAAACTAATTAGAATAAGTTATACTCCATGTATATATAATATGTCAAAACACACTGTACTGTCATGTATATCTAAAAAGTCTAATTAGGGTCCTATTGCTGTTGTGCATGATATGGAGTTTCACTGAACTAGGAACATATGAAACATATGAACATAAAAAAGTTATGTATGGTTCATTCTACTGTCTTTCCTATTCCTGTCCTGCTTCCCTTCATTTCATTCCTAATACCTACCTTTAAAAAAAAATTTTTTTTAGTTGCAGGTAGACACAATGCCTTTATTTTTATTTATTTATGTTTATGTAGTGTTGAGCATCGAACCAGTGCCTCACCTGTGCTAGGCGAGCATTCTACCACTGAACCACAACCCCAGCCCCCTAATACTTGCCTTTCAATGAAAGCCAGTCAGTATGCTTCAGTTAGTACTTTTTCAGTGTTATTATGATTTCTTTTTAACAGATGAGGAAGCAGGCTTAGAGTATTTTAAGATTTGTTGCTCAGTGGTAGAGCTGGAAGTCAGACTGGTTCTTCATTTTAATATTATTTTCTTAGGTTCTTTATTACTAGTCCATTCTGGTTTTGTTCCATCTTCCTCAGAAGTGAAAACTGAGGCTCTGATGGGTTAAGTGACTCACTCTGGAACACCTAAGTCAGGTGATACAATCTGAGCCAACGTCTTCTGACTGCAGGCTCTGTCCATGCCCTGCTCTCTGGTCAGTTCCCAGAACTCAAGGAGTTTGACATTTGACAGCCTCTCTAAGCCCAGCCCCCAGTCCCCAGAATCTTTGCAGCTTTTCTTGTGCACAACATGGTGCCTTTTTATAGTGAGATGTAAAATTAGAGCCCAGAGTGACTTTAGGGCATTCACTGTGCACGTGAAGTGAAATTCTAGTGAAATTTTGTGAAAGTGGCAATGTCACTGAATTGTTTTCTTTATAAATAACTTTAATGCAAACATTATTTTGTGTTATAATTTCTCAGGAACACTGTCATTTTCCCTCTTAGGTCATTGCTAGGATCGTGGATGGAAGCAGATTCAATGAATTCAAAGCCTTCTATGGAGACACATTAGTTACAGGTATGCAAGTGAAGGAATGAAAATGTGAACATTTTCTACTGGTTTGAAATGAGTGATTCCTTTCTCAAGGCTTTGATACACTTGGCAAGAGCTTTGTTATTTAGAGCACTACAAATGTATGAGTCAGTTTTCAAAAGGAGCTATTTTATAAAGGTGATTTGTAGTTAAATGGTTTCATGAATCCTGAGAGTTTAAAATGATGGCTGGATGCTGTGATATGAACCCTTATTTGTGACTTTGTGGCATTATATAACAATATTCTTAAAGTCAGCAGAAAATATTTGTAATGATTTTTGTTTCTTTGGATGACTAGTTATTTTGAAAATTTCAGCATTGTCTCTTTTGTTCTTTAGTCTCCAATTCAACTGGGAAGTTTTATGTGATGTTTTAGCTTTCCAGAGGAATGTAGAGTGAGTTAAGTCTTCTCACAGCCTCTGTGGGGTCTTAAGCTGATGCATGCAGGACAGTATGCTACATCTAGAAAAACAAATAAGATTATTATACATGTTAATTCTTTTGTCTAAGGTATTAAGTTTATAGGCCTTTGAAGAAAAAATATTTCAAACAGCTGCTAGACTCAATATATCTTGGCCAAATGGCAGAACACATTTTATGAATTTTACTTGGTGTTAAAAAGCTTGAAAATATAGTAGTTATCCTGACAATAACGTATCAGAGGAGGGGGACATAAAAACTAGCTGCAAAAAGTCCAAATTGCAAATGTACATTGAGGCTTAAGGAGAAATCTCAGCACTTTCTCCTGGCTTGATTTGTGAGCAGAGGGAGGATTCACAATGGGAGTGGAATTTATGTTTTTGTATTTAGGTGTTTAAGTGATTAAGAGCTTTTTGTTTGATATACAGGCAGGATTTGTCACCAAATAGTCCAGGATGTAACCCTCACTGTATTGTGGTTTCAAACAAGTCAAAGCTTGTCTGCTTTCTCTAAAGATGGATGGGCTGTCCCTGTCATCTACTTTTATATATTTGCCCAGTACTTGTGGTGCCCTTGTCCCCTAGGTCTACATCCAGTTTCCTGCATATTTTCTTGACTACACTGGGCTGTAAGTAAGGCTGGGGGAAGAGAAGGGGAGAGGAAAGACTAGAGGAAGAGGGTGGGAGGTGTAGAGGGTGAGAGGGGAGATCAGAATTCTCCAGAGGCTCAAGTGTGTCTGGGAGTTCTTCAGGGTTTCCTCCTGCTTCAGCACTTATCCTTAGGCCCCAGGAGATTTCTTGGACATTTTGCTTTTCTCTTCAGAATTCCATTTTGGATCAGGCAGTTAGTGAAGACGTCCCTAGGATAGTGGGGCCATGGGCCCCATTCAACAAGTCTGATTGTGTCTGGAGATCCCTAGGCAGGGCCAAGGGTGGATTGAATGCCTATGTAGTCAACAGGGTAGTTTATGTGCAGAGTGGCATCTTGCAAGTGGATCATGTTAGAGTCTCATCTCTTTGTGAGTGGACACTCTTAGGAGTGGCTAGCTTAGCTCTCCCTGAATAGCTTCTATAAGTGGCAGGGCCGTTTAGGATATGCAGCTTAGGCTTTTGGCTGGGATTTTAGGACTGTAAGACAAAAAGAAATCAATGGCCATCAAATCAGTGTTCCACTTTATCACATTAAATAAACATAATCATTTAGAAAGGTAATAAATCAATATAAGGAAGAGTAAAGAACAAAAATCTGTCTCTAAAAGTTCAGCATTTTGGTTTATCAATATGTCAATGTGCGCTTATCTGTTAATTTTTCTTCTCTGATGTTTTGAGCACCTGCTTTGTATCAGGCTGCACAGCCTGTGCAGCTAGAGGTTGAAGAGGTAGAGTCCAGGTGTGTAGGCTTTTGTAGTAAGCTGTCTTTGACCCACTTTGGTCCACAGAGTGTGGATTCTTGGGTTCCAAGTATTTGACACCCATTCACATGGGTGGATTCACCTCGTGGGAATATAGCACATACTGATTTGTAAGATGCTCTTCCTACAGGTACCTACAGCTGTTCTACCCTGTTAAATACTTAACACATTTAGCCCATCCTTGGCTTGTTGGAAATCTCTCTGGAGAAGGTCTCTCTAGTCAAGTTCTTCTGGTTTGCAAATAATTAGCCTCCTCTTAAATAACCTTAAACACCTGCCTAACAAAATAATAATTGCTCTCTCCTTTCCTCCTTCCCTCTCCCTCTCCCTCTCCCTCTCCCTGCCCCTGCGTCCCCTCCCCTTGTTTCTTGTGTGTGTGTTTGGATAGGGTGGGTGTTTGAAGTGGTAGTGGAAGTGGTGATAGAGAGATAACACTTGTGAAAAGAAGAAAAAAGATGCAAACTGAAAAGTGAAGTGATTCTTTCTTTGAAGCCTAACTGGCTTTCTTGCTTTATCTTTGATCACCTCCAGGCTTAACTGTTCTTGTTTTATTTATTTGTTTATTTATTTAATTCTAAGTTGTTTCCCTGAGTTTATCCTTTTTATTTTAAGGGTCTGTTGTTACCACAGGCATTTTTGGTCAAGGTGGGCAACAGGTCTGAACAATAACCTTTAAATAGCTCTGTGCCTTTGGCTTGTTGTATTTCGGAATATCCATAGTGTCTGGTACACACCAGGAACTCAGGTATGTGTTAAATGAATGAGTGGATGACACACTGAACCAATCATTTAATCCAAGTAACCCAGTACAAATAGACAACTTTACATGTAACATGACCCTTTTCAGAAGCAAAGAACAAAACCAGCCTCTGGTACCATAAGAATAAAATATTGTGACATGAGCTATTTTATACCATAGATAAAAATCTCTTGACATTTTAAATTTTGATCTGAAATTAAAGAATGTGTAAGTGTGCTTCTGGTGTGAATTAAAAGCCTTCTGAAAAGTGTAAATTCTTTCTGAATTTTCTTTTGAGGATTTGCTCGAATATTTGGATACCCCATAGGTATCATTGGAAACAATGGAGTTCTGTTTTCTGAATCTGCAAAAAAGGCAAGTACTGCTAAAAAGACTTCAAGAGTTTCTGTTTTAATCTAGCACAATTAATTTTGAAGGTCAAATAATGAATGAAAATTTAGTATATAAAAGCTTTATAATGTTTAACCAGACATCTTAGCAGACAACATGCTGTGACATGTTTATACCTGTGCATGTATGTTTGTGTTTGAAAATTATGTTGGTTAAATTAACATGATGTGATGGAAAAACTGCAGCTCTGTCAAAATGTCAAATATGCTGTTTTAGGAAAATTCTTAGGAGATACTTCAATTACAACTGCTATCACAAGTATGTGTTCAGAGAAGGCTGGGGAGACTTGTTCTGAAAGGGGCTCCTCCTCTGGGGCTGATGTGTGGGAGGGATTTGGCCACCCTATGCGTGTGCTTCTGAGCTGTGAGCTATTTATTCCTTTCTGTCCTGTCATCTGCTTTTACTTTGTGGAAATGGGAAATAGGTTTTTGTTACTGGTGTTCTGGCTTTAAAGAGTGAGCTCTTGAATATCTTTTGGCTTACTGGGGGATTCCATGCATCATTGTCTCAGATTACCTCACCTTAAGTAAATGTAATTCATGTACTTCTTTGATAAAGTGTTGTCTTAAGAAAAAAGTTTAGTTTTAGTCAAGTATTCCTTTTTATTACAGGAAACAGCCAGTTAAACTCTTTCACACCCTAAATGAGGAAGCATTTGTCTTTAGTGAAATGTTTCATCAATAAAACCAGTTTCTATATTCTGCTTTCCATTATTATTCCCTCAGCTCAATTATTTAAAAAAAAACAAAAAAGTAACAATAAAGCAAATATAAATCATCCACAATCCCATTATAAAGAACTTTTAATAAAATTTATTATGGTTCTATAGTTTTTTCTTTTAAAAAAGAACCTAAAATTGATAGTCCCATATATAGATGGAAGAATTGCTTATTTTCATTAAATAGTATAGATGTTTTCAAAAATATTAAATGCTACTGAAATATAATGACTTATAACTTATCTCAGTAGAGGAAATGTCAGACTGAGGCCAGACAAACCACTTGGTTTATCTGTCAGCTTGGCACAGATAAACCCAGGAGGAGTTATGTTTGGCTCCAGTCTGACATTTCATTTGTTGAAATAAGCCCCAAAGGTCTGTGTGATTTCCTCATTCTTGTAAACATAGTCATATTGAGGTTGAGCAATTACTTTGCAATTTTGTACCAGCCAAGGCATTTCCCATGGAGATAAAAAATGTGCAGACAGTAAAACATAAAGGAAATGGTTTATACAAGTTTCTTGCTCATACAATCTTTCGAAGATAGGGATAGAATAGTCACATTTTTAGATCAGTAAATAATTTCTAACCTGAAGGCTAGAAGATCTCTAGCACTCAGCCTAATCTAAAATCCCATTTCTTTGTTGGGGCATGTGAGTAAGAAAGATATATTTTATAATATATTTTAAAATTTTTTAGTTGTAGATGGACATAATACCTTTATTTATTTGTTTATTTTTATGTGGTGCTGGGGATCGAACCCAGTGCCTCACGCATGCTAGGCAAGTGCTCTACCACTGAGCCACAACCCCAGCCCATATTTAATAATCTTGATGCATGAAGCAAATGGTCACCAAGATGTCAGTGGTATCCTGGATATCCCCAAATCTTTGCATTCTTTCTTTTCTAAAGTGGAAAATTAGAGAATTATTTTATAGCAAAGCTCAGCCATTCTCACTGACAGTAGTTCTTTAGTTTCTGTTACTGAAGTTTTACTTGCTGCTTGGAATGTTAGTGATTAACTTCATCCGCGACACAGCAGTTGCCTTACAGCAACATGCCAGTGATCACACAGGCAAGTGTGCAGAGTCAGCTTGGTACAAACAGTGAGGCAGCACTGTTCCTTTACTGTCATGGTTAATAGAAGGTCAGACTATCCAAACAAAGGGTATTCTTTCTTCTCTTTGACCCAAATTGTGATTTTTGTGGGATGCATGATAGTTGTGGAGTTAATTGCATTTTTTTTTAAAATAATTTTTATGTTATTTGCTTATAGGGTGCTCACTTCGTCCAGTTATGCTGCCAAAGAAATATTCCTCTGCTGTTCCTCCAGAATATCACTGGTGAGAAAATAGCTCAGTTTATTTGGTTACATTTATTCTAGAGCTGCAAACCATCCATTGTGGCTCAGTGCAGAAAGTTCTGTTGGACTTGCTTTTCCTGGAATTTCTTTAAGGATTAACATTTTCCTTTATGAACGTTAAATACTTTGAGGAGATTACCCATATTTTCTAAGGGAAGCAGTTTCTGAGTTTGGTGCATCACAAATGTTCAGTGGCCTCCCTTTACTTCTACACATGCGCACCACCCACCTGCCCGGAGTCAGAGAGCATTGTCTGACCCACTGTCTCCTTCCCAGTACCTTGTTTCTGCTAAAGGATTTTAAGCACATGCTGTGGTTGTCCATTTATCTTTTATTGTGCAGTTGATTCTACCTGAAACAATATCTTTGTAAAATGTACATGCACATACTGAGCCAAAGTGTGGGGATTTGTGTTTTGACTCCAAAGAATGGCATGACTAAAGTGAGTTCTGTCACCTCCCTAGACTTCATACTTCATAGATGATCTTCACATGGTGGGTGGAGTGATTTTAAAGTCTCTTACAGCTTCAAAGTTCTCTTACCTAGAATTCTGAGACTCTGTGCACTGTGTCTAACATAGACGTAGCCCTCAGATTTATTGACTAGCAAAAAATTTCTCCCCTCAATCTTCCAAGTAATTCATACATGGTCACCTCAGGCTCAGGAGGTGGGTGCTCTGTATTAGTTGTTGGATCAGGCAGGCCTTCCTAAAAAGGAGGAATCAGGTGCTTGAAAGTGAGCAGGGCTTTAAATAGTACTGGGATGCAGGCTGCAGGAGTTGGAGCTCCTCTGGCTGAGATGGTTAGCTGGAGGAAGAGAGAGCACCCAGTAAAGGCAAGGACTGTGCTGTTGTACCTGTGGTAGCCACAGCAGTACAGATGCTCCATCAGGATTTGTTGAATTGAATTGGATGACCTGATGCTGGAGATGTACACAGCAGGAATAGTGCTAGTTAGGCAAGTGAGTTAGGCTAGTTAGGCAGTCAGTTAGGCAAGTGAGTCTACATTCATGGATGAAAGAAATGTCTTCTCTAGAGGCTGGATTGGGGAAGGGGACAAGTGAACCTGACTTGGTGTTTCTAAGGTGGAGAGGGAGGAGCCCAAGTCCCAGGAGACCCAGTGAAGCTGTAATGCTGTTTCAGCAGAGTTGGGAGCTTGAAGTAGAGGATCTTATAATTTCTTTCTCTTTTTTTTAATGTTAAATTTTGTAGTTATAGATGGACAGCATGTCTTTATTTTATTTGTTAATTTTTATGTGGTGCTGAGGATCGAACCCAGTGCCCCACATGTGCAAGGCAAGCGCTCTGCCACTGAGCTACAGCCCCAGCCCAGAATCTTGTAATTTCAATGAAAAAAAAATTGCTATTGAGTCACTGGCAGGGACTCAGCATCTCCATGAAATATTCATCTTTATTTCATCAAAGTTTTAAAGCCATCCTGCAGAAGGAACAGCCTTTGTTTTAAACTGGGTCATTGGATACAGAAGCCCTCACAGTGTGGCTTGCTACAGTGCTTTTTCCTTAGGTGGCCGTGTCACAAGCTCTCATTGTCAAGTCTCTACTTGGAGGTGATTTCTTGAAGAGAGATTGCTTCCTTTTGTTGTTTGAGGATCTCTCTGTGTATCCAAATGAATTGTTCTAAGAAAATTTTAAAAGTGATGAAAAAATTTATTTTACCTTTTAAAACACACTTTTTGGGGACATATTTCACATACAAATATTTTGTTAGAGTTAGCCTTCTAGGAAAATTAGTGTAAAACAAGTTGACCTTCCAGAACCTTGGTGGAGTTGGCATTGCACATCAGGCCCGTCACCCTGAGGCTCCTTTCTGTTCTCTCTCCTAGGATTCATGGTTGGTAGAGAGTATGAAGCCGAAGGAATCGCCAAGGATGGTGCCAAGATGGTGGCTGCTGTAGCCTGTGCCAACGTGCCTAAGATAACCGTCATTATTGGGGGATCGTATGGGGCTGGAAATTATGGGATGTGTGGCAGAGCATATAGGTAGGTGGTTGTCATGATTTTCTCTGAAAGACAGAAGCATGCTTGAGGTATTATCATAAGTGGTCATTTTATGTTTGAAATGATGGCATTCACAAATCTTGATCAGTTATATATAATTGGTATCATCTAGAGGAATGAAATTACATTTAATGCTAAGGGTTCTGTTTGGAAAAAATCTACAGTGGCAATCAGGAAATATTTGAAATGGCTGATAATGAAAAGTCTATACATTAAAACTTGTGTGATGCAGCTAAGATCTTGCTTTGAGGAAGGTTTACAGTCTTAAATATGTATACTTGGGGGCTCAGTCGTAGAGCTACATTGCCTACCTCCCCCCCAAAAAAAAAGTATATATTGGGTGAAGAGTAAGGATGAAAATCAATGAGCTGAGCATCCAGCTCAGGAGGAACAGCATCTTAAGTCCAAGAACAATGGAAAAGATATAGTGAGGAACAAACATAAGGTAGAAGAATTGGTAAAGCCCAAAGTAGTTAGATTAACAAACTTAAGTTGAAAAGTTAACAAACTTGATAATCTCTCCATCAAACTGAACATAGGCATGTGTAGCCAAAATCAGGAATGGGACATGACCACAGATAAGAAGATATTATGAATACTTTTATACCCATAATGAGTCACCTGGAGAACTTAAAAATCACATGCATGCAGAGGCCCCACCTCTGGAGATTGGTCTGCAGCAGGGGTTCCAGACATTGTTCATTGTTATATATTTTTTTAAACCTCTTCAGGTGATTATAATGTGCCCCTGGAAATAAGAACCACTTATTTAAAAGAAGGTTCTTTTTCATAAGAATCACTCATTAAAAAATGTGTCCTCTGAAAAGTCTGTGTTGTGCATTGAATTAAGTAGATCATTCTTTTTCTCCCAGCCCAAGATTTCTCTACATGTGGCCAAATGCTCGTATCTCAGTGATGGGAGGAGAGCAGGCAGCCAGTGTGTTAGCTATGATAGCAAAGGACCAAAAAGCACGAGAGGGGAAACAGGTAAATGACATTTCTTCTTCTGGATCTGGCTTTCACCAATGAACACACTGGAGTCTAGGAATACCCACAATCCCTCTGGAAGGTTGAGAAGATGCTGATCCAGGAGTCGTTTTAGCAATTTAAGCTCACACACATATTTTCTGACTTTCTTTTTTCTTTTTTTTTTACTTTTTTATTATTTATTTTATTTTTTATTTGTTCTAATTAGTTATACATGACAGTAGAATGTATTTTAACACATTGTACACAAATGGAGCACAACTTTTCCTTCCTCTGGCTGAACATGCAGAGTCATACCGGTGTATAATCATACATGTATATAGGGTAATAATGTCCATCTCATTCCACTGTTCTTCCCATCCCCACACTTCTTTCCTTCCTCTCCCTCACTCTCCTCTGCACAATCCAAAGTTCCTTCATTCTTTTCAACCTCCACCCCCATTATGGATTAGCATCCACTTATCAGGGAAAACATTTGGCCTTTGTTTTTTGAGGGGTTTGGCTTATTTCACTTAGGATGATATTCTTCAGCTCCATTCATTTACCTACAAATGCCATAATTTGATTTTTCTTTAAGGCTGAGTAATGTATCATTGTGTGTATGTACCCCATTTTCTTTATCCATTCATCTGTTGAAGGGCATCTAGGTTGGTTCCATAGTTTAGCTATTTTGAATTGAGCTGCTATAAACATTGATGTAACTGCATCATTGTAATATGCTGATTTTAAGTCCTTTGGGTATAAACTGAGGAGTGGAATAGCTGGGTCAAATGGTGGTTCCATTCCAAGTAAGGAATCTCCTTACTACTTTCCAGGAATCTCTTTACTGCACCAATTTGCAGTCCCACCAGCAATTTATAAGTGAACCTTTTTCTTCACATCCTCGCCAACACTTATTATTGCTTGTATTTTTGATAATTGCCATTCTGATGGGAGTGAGATGAAATCTCAGAGTAGTTTTGATTTGCATTTCTGTAATCACTAGAGATGATGAACATTTTTTCATATATTCATTGATCAATTGTGTTTCTTCTTCTGTGAAGTGTCTGTTCAGTTCCTTAGCCCATTGATTGATTGGGTTATTTGTTTTTTTGGTATTAAGTTTTTTGAGTTCTTATATATTCTGGGGATTAGTGCTCTCTCTATCTAAGGTGCATGTGGTAAAGATTTTCTCCCATTCTGTAGGCTCTCTCTTTGCATTATTGTTTCCTTTGCTGAAAAGAAGCTTTTTAATTTGAATCCATCCCATTTATTTACTTATTTATTTAGTAGTTGTAGATGGATAGAATGCCTTTATTTTATTTGTTTATTTTTATGTGGTGCTGAGGATCAAACCCAGTGGCTCATGCATGCTAAGCAAGTGCTCTACCACTGAGCTACAGTCCCAGCCCATGAATTCATCCCATTTATTGATTCTTGATTTTAATTCTTGCACTGTAGGAGTCTTATTAAGGAAGTCGGGTCCTAAGCTGACATAGTGGAGATTTGGTCCTACTTTTTCTTCTATTAGGCATAGGGTCTCTGTTCTAATGCTGAAGTCTTTGATCCACTTTGAGTTGATTTTTGTGCAGGGTGAGAGAGGTTTAATTTCATTTTGCTACAGATGGATTTCCAGTTTTTCCAGCCCCATTTGTTGAAGGGGCTGTGTTTTCTGCAAATCATGTTTTTAGCACCTTTGTGTGGTATAAAATAACCATATTTATGTGAGTTGTTCTCTGTGTCTTCCATTCTGTACCATTGATCTACATGTCTGACTTTCTTTTTAAAAGTGATTTCATCTGAGGTACATCTCTGATCACATTTTTTAAAAAATATTTTTAGTTGTAGGTGGACACAATACCTTTATTTGATTTAGTTTTTTATGTGATGCTGGGGATCAAACCCAGTGCCTCACACATGCTAGGCAAGTGTTCTACCACTGAGCCACAACTCCGCCTCCATCTCTGGTCACTTTTACAGTTTTTTCAGAACTCTGAGTGCCTGAGGCATAAAGATGATTCTTATTCGTTTGCAGTTAGTGACATTTCAATAAATCTGATTTACTTCTTTGATTTTATGACTGAAAACAGCAAAATTTTATTTTTCTCTATTTTTACCTTTAGATTGTTGTTAAGGATACCTCGAGTGGGCGGAATCAGTCATTTACTGAGAATTGAATAACATTTGTGTTCCAGGAAAGTTTAAAGAAAAATGGAAAGGGTAGTGGAAACTTGATGAAGGGCAAGTCAGCAAGCGGCTGCTTTTATGTATTTATTTAAAATTTAAAATTTTTTAGTTGTAGTTGTAGTTTTATTTATTTTTATGTGGTGCTGAGGATCAAACCCAGGGCCTTATACATGTGCTAGGTGAGTGCTTTGCCACTGAGCTACAACCCTAACCCAAGCGGCTGCTTTTATAATGGATATTTTTTTGGTACTGGGGATAGAACTCAGGGGCACTTGACCACTCAGCCATAACCCCAGCCCCCCCCCCCCCCTTTTGGTATTTTATTTAGAGACAGGGTCCTACTGAGTTGCTTAGGGCTTCACTAAATTGCTGAATCTGGCTTTAATTCGTGGTCCTCCTGCCTCAGCCTCCTGAGCTGCTGGGATTACAGATGTGTGCCACCGTGCCTGGCTGGATTCTTTTGTTTGTGTCTCAGATTCTTCTGAAATTTGGCATTAATATTTTTTAGTTATAACTTTTAACTGTTTTGTGGAGGCACCAACATTTTTGAAGGCTGGGGGACATGTGTTTAGGAATGTGTGTTTCTGAAGTTGCTTAGGTGAACTGTTGTCTCATCAGAGAAAGAAAGTATAAAATGGAGGAGGCCCTGCCTTCTTGGGCTCTATCCTGCCATTCTGAAATCACCTGGTCTACCAGTTAGTTTGCAGAGTTAGGGATAATATAAAGCTGGAGAGGTGGTTCCTGCCTCCCTGAGTGCATTCACCCCTGCCTTACATCCCTGATTGTCTTTACCAAGCAGCAGGAACTATGTAGACTTACACTGAGGTTTTAGATTCACTTTAGTACCAACTAGTATCAAAGCAAAAGGATAGCTTTGTTTGTGAGTGTGTGTCAGGATGGGGTTGGGAGGGGGCCAAGGATGGTGGCGTTGGTAGGGGAAGTGGGAAGGTAGTGGAGGTGGGGAAGGTAGGGTATGAAATGCTACCTGGTATTTTGAAGRTATGTCTTAAACTTCATGAAGCCTAGCATAATGATCCCTTGTTAAATAGTTGTTATTTGCCTAATTGATACACAGATTTGTAAATTCATTCCTTTGTATATATGAAAGGAAAGTGCAGTGTGCTAGTGGTTCTTACTCCAAATTCTTGACCTATAAAATGATATTAAAATATTTAAATAATATTAAAGTATTAAAAGAAGGGAGAATTTATTTGAAATAAGTAATTTGTTTTGGTGCAGTTTTTTTTAAGTTGAAAATATTTTTTAAGATGGCAAAATAAATTCCAAATATCTTTTACATCTGAGCTAATAACTATCACTTGGTCCTTCTAATGCCAATAAGAAAACCATTAAATTTTCAGCGAGGGAAACCATCTCTCAGCTATTTATTTTACCCCCCTGTAAGCTTTAAAAAGTTTTAGTGGTAGAACACTTGCCTAATGTAGGACAGGCCCTGTCCAATCCCAGTACTACAAATGAAAAAAATAAAGAAAAGATAAGACAGAAATCGGTTTTTTTGAAGGAAAATCTTACAATTCTTTGTTCTTTTTTTTATTGTTGGTAGTTCAAAACATTACACAGTTCTTAATATATCATATTTCACAGTTTGATTCAAGTGGGTTATGAACTCCCATTTTTACCCCGTATACAGATTGCTGTATCACATCAGTTACMCTTCCMTTGATTKACATATTGCCATTCTAGTGTCTGWTGTATTCWGCTSTCTDTYCTATTCTCTACTATCCCCCCTCCCCTCCCCTCCCCTCCCCTCTTCTCTCTCTACCCCCTCTACTGTAAATCATTTCTTCCACTTGTATTATTCTTCTTTCTTTATGTTCTTAACCAGAGGCTGCTAAAAATAATGTAGTTCTTCTGTTTTACTCTGTAATTCACATCCATTATTTTACCTTGCTGGAATACAGAGGTACATGCTATCCTGGGTTTGAACCTTTCATTAAATGGTCTCAGGATGCTGTTTCTGATAAGGAAGAAGTAATGGTAAAATAATTTGGTACTTCTGTGTCAGGAGAGATCATGCATCTTAAAGTATCACTTGTAATGAATACCTCACCACAAAAATGTTGGTTGTAGCGTTATTGTTCATGGGATTGTCTGTTTTTTTTTGAGGTTTTCTAAATGGTATCAATTATTCCAAAGACAATGACTTATTCATGGCTCCTTTTCTTTCAGTTGTCCAGTGCTGATGAAGCAGCTTTAAAAGAGCCAATCATTAAGCAGTTTGAAGAGGAAGGGAACCCTTACTATTCCAGTGCAAGGTGGGAGCCAGAGAATCACTCCTTCCTTGCTGGGTGCCTTCTGGCAGCTTTGCAGAGACCCCCAACAATCAGGATGATCAGCCTTCAGAGGAATCAAAAATAACCTCTGGACAAACTTAATTTTGTACTGTTGTCTCTTTATGCTAAACTGCTGCCCCTCTTCCAGGCTTCCCTGCATTATAGGTATATTATCATTGGGTGATTCTGCACCCCTGCCCCAACTCACCCCTGATTGGGGTATCCAGAGACTGGAGGGGGCCCTGTAACCAGAGCTGGGCCATGCTGAGAGCTGGGAATAAGAATTACAACTTGACCGTGTCACTGTCAGAGTTAATGCTGATTTTTCCTTAAAAACATGGGTTCCTGTCATATCCCTCTTTCTCATTGTTTTGTTTTTAACCCCATTTTAAGCATGAGATGGTTTGAACACCTATCGGCCCTTGCTAACAAGTGTGCTCATGTACTCAGAGGTGATCAGTCACAGCCAGGGTCCATGTGTCACATAATTACCTCCCACCATTATAGCTGTTGGTTGTTTGTTTTTTATGCCACTTAATGAGGTAATAAATTATCCCAGCCTGTCTCAGTTGGAGACTTCCTGGTGTGTGCTTCCAGATCTTTTTTTCCAACAACTTTAATGTTCTGCATTCTGAAAACTTAAGCTTCATGTCTTTCTTTTATCCCATGGGCAGAGGGAAAAAAGCAAGTATTTGTGTCTTTTAAAATTAGGTTATGCTGTGATTTATGCCATTTACTGGAGAGAAAGGGAGAAAAGAAAAGCAAAAGTTAGAATCCATTTCAACGATTTGAAGTGCCCCTTTGTAGCTGGGGTGCAAAGAATGAACGTGTTGAATTTCAAGACCATAATTAAAGTTCAGATAATGACATTTGGATTTTTTTTAAAACCTATGTGTCTCCTTGCTAAATATGTATAAATTTTGCTAAATATATATGTAAACAGATTTACAGGTATATTTTGCTGTGTTGGCTTATTAGTTCACTTAATTAAGAGCAAAATATTTTATAGTTATTGATTTGAGAAACAAACTTGTCCCTCCTTTTGCCATCACACAGCAGATTTATATAAGAGCCAGTAGAGGCAAAAAAGCAATGGAAAACTGTAGAAGATATTTACTGTAGAAGATGAAATGTAAAGTATATGTTGTAAGCTCACTGACAATTTTTGTTTTCACACAGAACTTTGACTGAAATGTTCAGTTACAGTTTAAATATTAAACTTTGAAAAATAGAGAGTCCTGTGTGAGCCATTAACTTGTTTTTTGGTTCTGGCTAAGCAATGTCATCTCTTGGGAAAGATTGTATCCTTTATTATTTCCATAATATCGTTATTTTTTTAAATGGACTACATTCAAAGCAAAAGAGCAAATGGCCCAGATAGACTTAGTTTTGGAAATAAATGTTGAAAGTTTTGGAAATAAATGTTGAAAGATAGAAAGATCCCTCTGTTTATCTGTAGATGCTTCACCATTCTGTTGAGACAGTTGATGGCACAGAGAGAGGAACTTTCTCTCAAAGATGAAAGGACTTTCCGGCTGGCTTATGATGCTGTCCTTGGATTTAGTAGATCTTAGTTTAACAGCAATACCCTGGCCTGCTTCGGCATGAACATGGTTAGATCTGGCTTTTCAGAGAGCTCAGTCATCACCTGCTATTGGAATCTCCAGTGTTTTTGATTTTGTGGCACTTGGCAATAAAACCCAGGGCCTCACGCATCCCACGTGAGTGCCCTACCTCTGAGCTATATCCCCAGCCCTTCCAATATTTTCCTTATTCTTCCAAGTGACCTGTATAGCTTCCTAGTTTACTTCTGTTCAGTTGTTTTTATAGTCAAGCTTTATCAGGCATTCGATGACAACCTCCTACCTGGAGCAGTCTTTTAATGGATGTGATTAACCAGCCCCTCTGTCACCATGCCTGTGGGATCATGCTGCTGCAGATTGCAGAAGGGATGTGACCAGTTCACCTGTCAACAGATTACAAGTGTGACTTTTTATTGGCCATTGATACTTTGGGGTCCATATTATGAATATTTTATGAGAAAAGATTTGATTTCTGTTTGTCAATGGCTTAATAATTGATGTGTTGTCTAGGTATTAAAGGCCGTTTGTTTAAAGAAAGCAAAACTGCCACCTCCTAATGACCTTTAAAACATAATATTTTTCATTCCTTTTTCTTTATAAATTTGAAGGTTGATGATGAAAAGCAAACTAAAATTTCTACTTAGATGTTTCTTCTGAAATCAGTGGACTGTTAGTTTTCCTATCATAGCAAGAATAAAGCACTACATTTGAAGGCATTTATTTTACTAATGAAATATATTGAAGCCTATTCCATAACTTTCATAGTTTAAGAGTTTGGGGGTTTGGAGAATTATACCTTTCCCAGGGAAGAGAGTGGCTTAACATTTTTACTTGGTTCATGTGGCTCTCCTTAGTAATGGCAGAAGCACACCAACTTGGTTTGTACATTTGTGAGGGCAGAAAAGGGAGAGGAAGGCTTTTCCTGAAATAAGTAAAAAAAATTTAAAATAGGGATTGAGATTTCTTATGTAAATAGTTCCTAACACTTTAAGCTTGGTACAACATTCTGTGGTGACCTGGGGTGAAAGTCATTATTTTTCTTTCCCTTTTCCCATCTCTTGAACATGGTTTCTGTTGTGAGATTCAAGTAATGAAGATGATAATCAGTAGATCCGTATATTACCTGAAGAAGACTCTTCATGGTGTGTATAAATGGTGGCTTGGTGGTAGGTTCATAATAACCTATGTTTTTATTCTTTTGTCAGGCTGTGGGATGATGGGATTATCGATCCAGTGGACACCAGATTGGTTCTGGGTCTCAGTATTAGTGCAGCCCTCAACGCCCCCATCCAGAAGACTGACTTTGGCGTTTTCAGGATGTAGCTGGAATATAAAATGTGTTCTGTTGGACATGTGCCAAAAATTATCATATGTAACCTTAAAATTTTAAATTTTTTGAACGTGTTTCTGTGATTTTTTGTTCTTAACACAATACATTGTACTTTTCTACCTTAAAAAAAATCAATGAGGATATTTATTTGATGAGCATCAATTCCTTTTAAATTTTCTTAGAGAAATTTTTCCGTGGCTCAATCTTATCACCCATGAAATGAAGAGACTAATTATCCTTTATATCCTACAAACAATATAAAAAGTTCTTTAATCTATAAATTCCAGTGTGGTTGAGATTATTAATATAAAGTTTATATTTGCTGAAATGATTATTTTGCTGATTAGGCTTGATGATATTTTAAGTTATTTTAAAGAATCATCTATTACCTTTCTCTTCAGCCACCATCCTATCTCCTTCCCATAGTAGTCAGATTTCTCCCTGTCTGCACTGTGGGCCCTGCTTTCTAACCTATTCTCTCCTTGTTCTGCCCCTCTCTGGCTTCCGCCAACAGCTCTGTCCGGTTACCATTGCTCTCCATGTTGCTGAAGCCAGTGGAGTGTTTCCCAGCCTTATCTGACTTTTCAGTAGCATTCTGTTGGATTGAACACTCCCTCCTTGAACTGCAGCCTTGGCTTTCATAGTCAACCCTCTAGATTTTCCATCAATCCCTTTAGCCTTTCTTTTTTAGTTTCCCTTGTGGAATCCTCTTCATCTCCTGATCTCCCCCACTTTTATTATTTGTCTTAATTTTCATTAAGGAATACACAAATACATTCTTATACTGAAAAGATACAAATAACACAAAAGTATCTCCTTTTTTAATGTAAGAAATTAACCCTTTTAACCATTTTGAGTGTACAGTTCACTAGCATTAAGTACCTTCATATTACTGTGCAGCCATCACCACCATCCATCTCTAGAACTTGTTGTTGTCCCACATTGATTCTCTGTGTCCATTAAACAATATCTCCCATTTCCCCCTACCCCCAGCTCCCATTTTCCCCTCCCCCAAGCCCCTGGCCCATATTATTAAATGCACATATTTCTCATGGCATAAAACACGTGCATTCTTGCTGGGCCATTTTTCCCCTCTCATGGCTTCAGTCCCGTCTAAATGCATTCCTGCATTGGCTCTTCCTAGCATAGTTCTTCCCTGGTTCTACACTTGTGTGCTCTTATAAAACATGTCTACTGGACATCCACCTGGTTGTCTTGGAGGAGCCTCAATTCAGTCATCAGGTGCTATAACTTTGCCTCCTTGATGGTCTCTTGAACTCTTCCACTTATTTTTGTCTCTTACCAGCACGGGCCTTAGGAGTGGTCTGCTGCATCTGGTCTTACCTCATCCTGTCTGTTCACCTCTCGAGTTAGAGAGGCCACCCTAAAGTACACATCTGGTCAGACTGCTCCCTTCCTTAAAATCATTCAGTGGTTTCTTGTGAAGTGCCAGCTGGCCCCAATGGCCTCCATGATCTTGCTTGATCTTTGCTTTTTTAACCTCATCTCTTTGACTCCTCTTTTCACAGGACAGTAGCTCTGGCCATTCTAGACGTCCAGGTCTTTGAACCTCCTAAGTTCTTCCACCAAAAGATATACAAGGCTCCCTTGACCTGAACTCTTCTCCTCTTGCTTCTTCAGCACTTATCCTTCAGCTTAAGCTCTTGATTCTCTTTGATAAACACTACTTCCTTAGGAATGTTTTTGTGACTTCCCTGGACTGGGCTGGCTTCCCTACTGTGTGCTCTTATAAAACATCATATGCCTCTATCACAAATTCATCATTGTGTCATAAATGTTTCTTTAACATTGCCCACTGCTAGAATGTAAGCTCTACGAGAGCAAGGATCTGTTTATCCTGTGTCTACAGTGCCTGGCACTTGAGGGGCTCAATATTTGTTGAATGAATGAAAATGTCCATATTATAATTGATGTCCTCAGGACATAAAATTTTAAAATTAGGTGTTTGATTATACAACTTGATACAACTATCATGTTTTCTTAATAAAATTAATATTTCAAATGTCTGTATGTTCTGTTTAGGCTTCCTGTATATCAGGAAGTCAATTTAACTTTTTATGGGGTGACATATAGAAAGAAAATCATGAATGAAAGGTAGTTTTCATTTTCAGAAGGAACATGGTATTTTTTTTTTAAACAAAAGCACAAGTCCACTTTCACTTAACTATTTTTCATTAGTTTAAATCCTTGAGGGTAGAGCATCAAAAGAATTCTGTGTCCAGTGGCCTTGGTATGAAGGCTGCTTTGGATTTGGCATAAGCCACCTCACTGTTAACGTCGGCGTAAGTCACCTTTCCCCAGAGGACTCTGGTTTTGTTCGCTTGCTGTCAGGAGTCACTGTTTTGTTCTTGCTTTGTAGACATAGCACATCTTTTGCCCAAGTAGAATCTAGTTCCATCTCAGGCATAAACACCTCCAATTTTAAGAAGAGCTATGTGCTCCCTTTAGTTCTGGAGACTTTGTTTCTAGCAAGTAAGAATGTTCCAGATGTTTCTGCCTTTTAGGAACCCTGTTCCTAGGAGGCCTTCTTCACAGGCTCTAAGATGGTGGAAATACCACATTAAGTAAGTTCTAAGATTATATTACATTTTGAATTAAAAATTTCATCCATCAGAAAATGAAAATGTTTTCTTTATATAATCTAGGTGATATTTATTTGGTAGGAACTATCAAGTTAATGATTCTTGGTTATTTGGGGCATGCTCTTCCTTTCTCTTTTAGAAGTATGACAGCCATCACTAAAAACCACATTTAAATTAGATTATTTTTATAATTTATCCAATAATAACTGCAACTTTTACCAAAATAGTTGTTTTTTTTTTGCATTTTGACTTATGTATTTAGTTAGAAGGACATGAGTTACATAAAATTTTAAGAACTGTACAGCTAATTAGAGAGCTAATTGGTCTCTAAATTTGCCTCTCAGTACTTAAAGAATGAAGAGACAAGATTACTTTTGTTTTCAGTTTTCAAAATGTTTTCAAATTATAATTTAAGTAAAATGAAGTAGATAATCATAGCCTAGTGTCATATTCTTAAATTTGTTATAAAATAAGTGCAAGGAATAATGATCCAAGTTTGTATTGTTTTGATAAAAAAACCTTTCCACAAAACACTTAGAATTAGTTTGTTTTTAACTAATGGGCTTCAAGTTCCCTTATATCTGGGATCAGCACACTAAGCATAAAGTTGTTAACAGCAAAATGAAATTTCTTTCCACCTTTTACCTTTCTACACAAATGTACATTCCAGATGATGGGCCCTGTAGTGAAGGTAATTTATCATCCACACTGGGACATGTCTGAGAGTGAAATGATCTACCAGTGACCTCACAGGGGTCAGGTCTGCACTGAAACTGCCTGGGCAGATTGGAGTACACGGTCAGTCTATCTGGAATTCATTGTTACCATGGACTGAGTATTTTTTTTTTTTTAGTTGTAGATGGACACAATATTATTATTGTTCTTTTTTTAATTATTTTTTAAATTTGTTTTTATTTTTACGTGGTGCTGGGGACCGAACCCAGGGCCTCACGCTTGCAAGGCAAGTGCTCTACCACTGAGCTACAACCCCAGCCCCTGGACTGAGTACTTTTAATGTGTCAGCTTTTGATAATTTTTACTAGCCAGTATCCAAGATACCTGCTTTGTAACTTTTAATGTAGATTTCAGTATGATACCAATCATAAAATCCACATTAGCATTTTTGAGAGAGATCTAATTGACACGGGGTAGAGGGCAGGGCTTACTAGGGCAGGGATGATTATATTTGCTGTTGTGCCCACAATAGCTCAGCTGTTCAGTTTGTCAGCTCTCTCAAAAGTGACTTAGATAATAGTTTGTGGTGTTCCTTAGGTGTCTTTGAGGACGACTAAGATCTTAGAAGGCTGTGATTTCAAAAGGAAGTTACCAAAAAGGGAAAATGTGCCCAGAACAACTTCTTAGAATTAAGTTGGAAAAAAGATATTTTTAAAGATGTAATTCAGTAAGTATTAATTTAAGAAGTGAACTTAAAAAACAAGTAGACTACTAGCAAGACATCTCTGTAGGAAATGTATTCAACATTTTTCAACCATAGTTCTATTAATCACATCCCTGTATAAGACAATAACTTAAAAATAACTTGATTTAAAATAATTGAAATTTATTACGGAAAATTTAGGGGGACAAAGTGAAAAAAATAAGGGGAAAAACAGCAATAACAAAAATCTCCATAATCCTACCACCCAGAGAGAACTGCTGCTATTAATGTTTTTTGTATTTTTTCTACTTATAAGAATTTGTTTTGCTATATCATAAATAAATGGGGTATAATATCTCATTTTTCTGATTGTACATATTGTAGAATCATATTGGTCATGCTGTCATATATGTATATAAGGTAATAATGTCTGTTTCATTCTACTGTCCTTCGTATCCCCATATTCCCTCCCCTCTTCATTCCCCTCTACATAATCTAAAGTCACTCTCTTCTTCCCTAGACCCCACCTTATTTTCAATTAGCATTTGCACATCAGAGAAAACTTTTGGCCTGTGTTTTTTTGGGATTGGCTTATTTCATACTAAGGTATGATATTCTCCAACTCCAAATGCATTATACTGTCATGTATAACTAATTAAAACCAATAAAAAAATTTTAAAAAGAATTTGTGTTGGAGAGATGATGTATTCCAACTTACTCTGTGATCTACATTTTTACTTAATGTATTATAAATATATTGACATGTTTTCATGTCATTTAATATTTCTTCTGCCAATTTTGATATTGCATGGTATTAAATTGTACAGATGTCATGTAACTGCTCCCCTATTGTTACAGGCTGCTTATTTCTTATTCCCCACTTACAGTATTTCAGGTAATGTTGCAATGAACATCTTTCCTATTTATTTACATACATGTGATTATGTGATTATTTTCCTAGGGTAAATTTCTCCAAGTGGGATAGTTGGGTCAAAGTGTATAGACTTTTTGCTAAATTCTGTTCTATAATTGTATTTTTATGCTATAGGTATTGTTGGATATTATCATGACCCTGGTGCTTTCAAAACTACTGAAATAGTTTCAATAGAATTAAGTTGTTAAGAATAAACCATTGTTTCCTTTAATGGTTAAAAGTTGTGTTGTGGGCAGGTCACTCAGAAAACACACCAAGTCCCAGTTTTGTCCAAATTGAAGAGTCTTTATTTAGCTGACCAGCCAGTGACTGCTCCCCGCAGGACCCATAACTGTCTCTGCAAGGAGCAGCCCCAAGCCTGAGCATTTTAGGATATTTAAAGGCAAAAACTACATCTGGGTTGACGTAACTGTAAGCAAGCAGGTACAGAAGCTGGATTGAGCAGTCTGCGAGACAATACAATGGATACATTGGTATTTCCCACAGGACTTTCCAGGTTGGCATAGCAGCAAGCAAGCAGAAGGGAAGTGGGTCAAAATGACACTAGTGGAGTACAAGTTAGAGAATGGTTACTAACGTCTAGACAATCTCTGACAAGGTACATTGCCCAAGAAAAATGGAAAGCAAAGAGAACAATTTTACATTGTATAAGAATTGCTATTTTGGGTTGCCAAGTATGCTATGCTAGGTAAATATTAATGGGTGCAGAGGTGGGGCTTTCCCAAGGGAGAAGCATTTCTTATGTGATATGGAGTCTCAGGGTAATATGGAGTCTGTTTGGTCATTGCCCATATAGCCTGGCCCATAACAGTTGTATCTAAGTGACCATGTCACATTAGCAAGTTGTGAAGACCCAGCATGAATGTATGGGAGGTCACAGTTATGGAAACAACACTGGACTGAGAAGACCAGTCCACGTTCTATTACTAAAAAGTTGTGTGAACCTGAGGAAGAAGAAAGGGAACCAAAGTCAGCCTCTTGGGCCAAGCAGTTGTTTTGCTTCCTTCTTTCTAGGTGCCCAGGTCTTTCTCTACCTCCCTGTTCTCTGCTAGTCAGTAGTAGTGGGACAGGGTTGTGTTGAGAGCTTTTTTATTCCACACAGCAACGCATACCGGAGGGCTTGGTAGGACTCATGGTGGAACCACTCACTGGGATGATTTCATTCTTCACTTTTTTAGAGTTTATTTTGTTCAAATGAACAAACTTTTACAAGAGCTTACTTTGGGATGGCTTTGGGTGCAGCACTTAGCCAGGGACTGGAGAGGGCATTTCACTGCTTGGCACCCCTCCATTTTTTTGGTGAGGGCACTCTTTTTCTTTGGGAACTGCCCCTCTCCTGTGCAGTCTTGTGAGTGTGCGGGTAAAGAGTCCTGACCCCCAGCTGAGAATATGTGGGGAGATGTGATCAGTTGGACTTTCCAGTGGTTTGACTGCTGAGCTGAGGGACAAAGATGGAAGACTGGCCCAGAGCTGTTCCTGTGGACCAAAGAGGCTGTTCATTCATTCTTGCTCCCCGGGTTACTGAGAATCTACAAGCCTGAGACATCTTGTGTCCTTCCAACATTTGTATTTATTTAATTTGCCAGAATCGGGTTCCAACTCTTGTAGTAAGAAACCCTAATCTCCAAGTATGTTCTGCAAATCAAAGTAAAGTTCCTCTATATTTTTAAACTTTGTGAAAGATTTACTATGTACATTTTTGAAAGACTGTTCAGAAAGAAACCATTGGAACACTATAATTGTCATCAGAGGAAGAGTGGGGACTCAGTCCAGAATAAATGGGGTTCTTGACAAATGTTGCAGAAATGAATTTAGGGACATGTCAGAGTGACAGGAATTTATTTAGGAAAGCAGAGACTCATTCAAGGAGAACACAGGCTGTCTTGAGAGTAAGACTTGCCTTTGGGATCCTGGACTGCTCTTTTAAAGGAAATTTGGTGAGGGGTGGAAGGTATGTGGGAATGACATCAGTCTGGCGATCTGAGAAATTTCTGTTGGTCTGGTTATTCTCAGGTTCCTTAGGCTGACGTGGTCTCTACTGTATGGTTAATAGATAATGTTGGAAAGTACCCTAGATTACAGGTTTATTAAAGTGTTAAATATGTCCTTTTATTAATCTATTTATTACATAAAAAGTGTTAAATATGTCCTTTTATTAATCTATTTATTATATAGGCTAATTAACAGTGCACAAGGTAATTTTCGTAGGTGAGTAAATTTATAGTAACTTTTGAGATTTACAGATTTCCCAGAATTTGGGAGTGACAAACCTGGGAGGAAAGGTGTGTAGAACTTTAGCAGAAGGCTTTCAGTTTAATTTGTATTTTGTGTTTTTTTCCTATGTCTCCTTCCTACATTTAAAATTTTCTTCTAGGTAAAAAAAGATAGTGTAGAGGGAAGAGTAAATTGAGGTATTGGTCCTTTAGCACATGGAACATTCAGAGGAGGAGGGCTCTGACTCTACCACCATCACCAGTGCAGATAGATTGTTTAAATTGTCACAAGGGAAACTTGATTTATTGCAACACTTTGATCACTAAAATATGTCACCGAGAAAGGTTTTAAGGTTATTTTTAATTGGAAATCTAGTTAAAGATGTGAAAATTTTCCAGTGGGAATAATTTAAATACAGTCAAGAGATAGAAGATAG